ATCACGTATAAGACTTGCTGCTGCCATGAAAATGATCGCCGATGTAAATGATAAAGATAAAGACTGAAACTGTTTATATATATATAATAATAATAAAATTAAAATTAATTTAAAAATAAATTAAAAATGATTATTTTTTTTTTTAGTCTGTCCTTCGACGTTGATGAAAATTCTGAGCCAATGATTCCTTTACAATCACGTACACAGAAACTGATACGATGGATTACGAAGCTCAAATGTTTGTGTTACATGGCTGAAATTACTTTGCCTCTTCCATAAAGTAAACTGAAATTTCACGAATACCTCGCGTCGTTTGCAGTGCATAACATAACCTCGCTATTTCAGTTGACCCAAAAATAACGCAATGTTCCAGGAAATACGCCATTCAAATTTTCTACCATTTATTCCAATTTAAACTCGAATCAACTTCGTCAGAAATCAACATGAATTAACGAAATCCCAACTATATTTAATTCGACGCAAACCGAGCTGAACGCAATTGAAATTAACTAGATCCGAACTGTATTCAATTTGACTCAATTTAAACCGAGTGTAATTCAAGTCAACTGGACTAAAACCGGGTTCAACTCGATTCAGTTCTACCAAAATGATGCTGAATTTAATTCAACTCAAACTAAGTTCAATTTAATTCAACTCGACTCGAGTTCGATATAATTCAATGCACACCGAGTCTAACTCGACGAGTCGATTAAACTTTAATTCGATACTTTTCGAACGATATTCCGCGAATATTCCCTTGCCATAAATCGTGCTGCATGTATTTAGGAAAAACCGCGATCTCCGATGAAGCTACAAACTCGGGGGTCTGTCCAAAATGGCCGGACAAATTCCTGGACTGCGGCTATCCAGTGGCACGACCACCGCGCGCCATCCCTCGGTAATTAGATAAATTTCCAAGCTACCGGCCGGGAATTCGAGCGACTGTCATTTGACAAATCCACGCCGGCCATTAAAGGCACGCGAGTACACACGGCGAGTGTTATTAATGCTCGCGGTACACGGATATTTGGGTTAGTCTCGCGGCCAACGTGGATTCCCCGTTTAATAAAGTGTTCGCTGGGAACCGTAGGGATACGGCTGGATTTAAATTTTCCACGTAATCTCCGCTCGCACGAACGATACCGACTCGCGTACCGTTCGTGCCGTGTGTTCAACCACTCTTCCACGAATTAACGGCAATATCGTGGCGGTTTAATGAAACGGTAACGAGAACTTAATCGTGGGAGCCTTCATTTCGAATTTCCATTCGTTTCGCTGATCGAATTACCTCCCGTTACGTGCTATCGTTAGCGCTATCGTTTCGTTGATCGTCCGTGCGGAATGTTCGATAGGTTAGGCCGGGAGTGGGGGGACGAAGGTCGGAGTAGGTGGCACTGCCTCTTTCGCGTATAACGAATGGCGAGCACGTAGTACTACGTTTACCTTTTATTGGAAAATGGAAGATATTGGAACGGTAAAAGGCTTTTTGGATCGACTCGCGGGGAAATTTTCAATATAGTACATGTTACGATCCTTTTGGGTAATCGCCGGAACGATGTTCGATGCATGTACCGCTACATTTCCAAGTCTAAGTCTCACGGTTTCCAAGTACGCGGTTTACGCGGCTTTTTCACGTATTTTCAAGTCCACGCTATTACATACGTATCTCCGTCACTCTTAATCTCACGTGAATTTAAAAAAGGGAGAAAAAATTCTTTCCACTTCTTTTTTTAATCATCCTTTTTCCCCGCGAGCTAATAATTTTGAAATTAACTTCCAAACGATGATTGAACGTGAAATTTCGAAACGTGATCGTTAACGAAAGTAGGAAAATGGCAGGTACAGCGCAGTGAGGAATCGGTACGTTCCGGCGTCCAATTCGAATCCACGATCAGGACCGGACGACGTAATAATTTATGCTCCCGATTATACGTCACTGAATTATTCATCCAACGTTAAACATTATTTACGAGCGCACGTCGGTTCCACAATCGGGGAGACACACTTTTATCCCTCAATTTGCATTCGAAGCAAGAATTCGAGCTACTCATTTTTCCTCGGTGCCATCCGTTCGTCCGCCACGGTAGTTTTAGCCAAGTATCGATTCCAGCAGGCCGAACGCGATGCACGTCACCCAATCTTCCGTTTCGGAACGCATCGACATCTATATCTAGTCGAAATCGCGAGGAATTATACGGACAGTTTATCGGTTACCGAGTAATCGCGTATCGAGTATTCGAGGCAGTGAGCGTTAATATTGATAGTCGGCACGGTTCATTAAAGCGAGCTAGTATAATTACTTACTAAGCCTCATAAGCGATAACTGTTGCGATGATGAATATCTCATCGTGATTACAAGTAAACTAATTTTTGTTTCGTTTCTATATAAAGCGATCCCTAAATGGATATATGATAATAATAAGTGATAAAATTGGCCAGAATATTATTATTACACAAAAATGAGTGGAAAAGGAAGAATAAACTTTTTTCGTTCGGGGCTTCGTTTTCAAGATAATCGAGTTTGAAATAAAGGTCGCAGGCAGTCAAACTGCGCGCGCTGGGTGGGGAGATAATCGAGTGCGCGGGCACCCGGCGAATATTCAAACTCGATTTCCACGAAAACGAAGACTCGAATTAAAAAAATTTACTCTTCCTTTTTAACCCGTTTTTACCCGTAGAATCATTTCCTATCGATTTGTCGCAGCTCGTTCTCGTTTTTCGAACAGAAATCGTAAATTTCTTCCGAGTTCTTTCGCCTTGACTCTACTTCTGTCACTACCGTCATCAATTTGTTTTTAGCCAGTCATAAAATAATTTCGGAAATAGAAACTTAAGGTCACTTCGCGATATGTCGTATCTTACCTATTTACTTCATAAGATATTTTAAACCTCTTTCGCGGAAGGCAGACGGCGTTGCACGGTTACAAGTTACATCGGTGGAGACACATTTCGCTTTATGATCTCCCTGGAGGAGACTATAGTATCCAGAGCCACTCTACACGCGTCACGAAGGAGCGCAATAACTTTCCTCCTATTTAATTTTAATTTCCACCGTCCAATATATCTTGCAACGAGCCTCGTGTTTCAATTAAGCTCGGCTTCGTAAACTTCGTCAACTTCGCGGAATATCGCTACGGAGAGGACCGGTAACTTAACCGGTACAAATTTGCTCAGGCCGTCTGGTCGCGTTAAAAATAACCGTGTTATAATCGAAGAACGAAAGTTAGCAGTAAAAATAACGAGCATCGACGCGTTCGATACTTATACCGGGTGTCTCCACTTTCTTACGAATTTCTCTACCGCCTTGGAAAAATCTACTTTCTCCGTTCGAAAAAATTCATTTTCTTCGCACTACTACGCGTACCGTATCAATTAAATTGGTTTCAAATATTTTCCTTTCGCGTTTACTAAAGTTTCACCCGCGAGCAGGTCAATTGGCCGAAATACGTGGAAAATATCGGTACGATGTAGAAACTTAGGCATCTCGAATTAAGGCAGGACTGGAATTCGAAATTTTCTTTCCTACATTTTTAAAGCAAACGATATTCGACAAAAGGAGCACTGACGAGTTATTTCCAAAAATTTTCCAGACACCGCGGGCTACTAGTGCAGGTTGGTACCGAGAACGTCCGCCAGGCGGCGCTGACAAGCGGCGGGAAGCGGCTTGGATAATCCCACGAGAAGAATGTCAATTAATGGCCTGCTGGCGCGAGCGCGCGAAGCGATCGATCAAACCTGGCATTTGTGCCACTTTAAGAAAGTAAGTCAATGTAATTCGCAATGAGTAAGGTTGTTGCATACGCGTCGTCTAAGCGCCTAGGATCGACGGAGACCTTCGAGGCTCCGGATCGCCATCTGCACGGTCGCCGGCACCCGATTAGCCGTTCCTCCACCGATCCCTAGCTTCCGCGTGGCAAACGGGCCCGTGGAATCTCGAGCACAATGCCCATGTTATCGGGCCACTGGATCGCTTTCGACTTTCACCCGGCATTTTCTTTTTTCGCGGTGAAAATCCTTCGTTTTTTTTTTTTTTTTTTTTTTGAGCCGTCACGACGCCTAACGATCCAGCGACGCGATCTGCCATGGTCTAGCTAGGGGGCGCTCTCCATGCTGGCCCGATGGATCGAAATGCAGGGAACGAAAGCGGAGATTAATTGTCGGAGATAATGCCGCGATTACGCGGTGTATGAACGCGAGGTGAAAATGAGAATTCCTCGGGAGTTTCGTTTTCGAGATGAACGACTGTGAATGGCGCTCTGTTTCAACCGGATTGGTAAGTTTGATCATTGAGATGTAATGAATCTTGTCCACTGCTATCTCTTTCCGTTTTTATTGCGGAACTCTCCACTTGTCGCCCGTGTACATTTAAATGTATAAATGCGTGAACAGGTGTATTATGTAATTATATTATAAACATTAATTATCTACATATATCGGGGGTCGATCCTTGAAATTCGAGAATTTCAATTTTTGAGGGTATTCACGATGTCGAAAGCGAAGAGGATTTGTGATAAAAAGATACCTAGACCTTGAAACTTCTGCCAGGGATTTATCGATAATGATACAGGGTACATCAAACTATCGTGATACTGATAAAAACTTGTTCGTATCTAATACACGATCGAGTCTATATTTATCCTCGGACTTTTTCCCAACTTCACCTATACATTTTCAAAACCTGCGTTTTACTTCGTGGTATTATTTCAAAACCTCGGCACCAACGCACGATGTACAATTAAATCTGTTAAAAGTCCGTAACGCAGCGTTCGAATGGTTTCACGAACGTCTGTAATTAAACGTAACTAGCTATGTATGTCCATCCTCCTCTGCCATTATAAAACGGAACATCCAATCAAAATTTTACCCAGTCGCATTTAGGACCCAACATAACCTAACACCCAAGTACGCGTAACTATGGAACCTATTTCTTAATTTTTATTTCGACAATTTCATTCCGCCATTTTGTTTAGAAATCTGGTCGAATGAAAATGGCTACTCACCCTTGGTGAATTCGTCCACCGACTCGAAGCGTCCCTCGACCTTGTTCTTGGACGAGTCCCAGTCGAAAGGCGTCGCGAATCCATGATCGACGCTGCGACTCTTGCTCCTGAGAAAGGAGAAGTTTAATTAACGATTAGTACGATAAAGGCGCGCTTTCACTGCGCCAACGACTCTCTATTTTTAAACACGTCCGCCGCCGACGACCACGAGTTTCGAAATTTCTATCGCGGCCAAAGCGGGAGCACAGCGCCGCGGCGGTGAACGACGCAACTACTCGCGTGTCGCGTTCTCACAATTTTTTCCCTTCTGCAAAAGCGGATAACCAGTCAGGCGAGACGCGATGCAATTTCACGATGCAACGAACCATGCGTCGTATAAACGGACCCTACAAGACGAATCCGCGGGACGGTGGCGAAGATAGCGGGGGCAACAATGGGGCTTCCGTGAATGAAATTACCGGCTGCACGAGGGAAAAAAGAAAGGGAAAAAGGAGCGAGTGAGAAAAAAAAAAGAAACAAATTTCACGAATGGAGGAGCACGAGGCGCGAACGAGTTATCTGATGTTGCAACAAGTACGCTGCATCGATGAGTGCGTACTCGTGGATTCGCGCAATCGCTGAGGATTTGCAATTCTTCTTAACGAGGGTTTCGTCCGTTACCTGGAGAAACATTGGGATTTAATATGACAAGATACGACGATGATATCGAGACCGGTAAATAAAACGAAGTATTAAATATACGTAATTTTTAGGTTAGGTAGTGTTGCACGGGTTTAAATATATTTGACATTAATCGAGCAATTATATCAATAAATGATATTAACACACTGCACGCCGATTACAGGGATCAAATTTTCGATGGAAAATATAGTATATCTACTGAATTCTAAAATTGAAGTTGAATAAAAGAAGAATATGGTGGCAAGTGTCTACGAGCATGCAATATCACGAGGCGGTCGTACAATGTGTTGATCGTGGAATAATTTATATAAAGATACGTGCAAAGTGCCCAGAAGGTTGATATAATTTATTAAAATATAAAAATAAATCGAAAAGAAATGAACTTTTTTCCTTTCAGCCTTTGTTCCCAAGTAAATCGTGTTTGAATATTCGCGCTCTGGACTAGCTCCCCACCTATCGCGCTTAACATGGCTGCCGTTGGCGCGAAAATTCAAACTCGATTTTTCGTGAAACGAGGATTCCGATGGGAAAACCGTATTCCACATTTTTCGTTTATTTTTGCAAGCAGAATAATTATCCAGTGAGTTATACCATGTGTTCCGAGGCACTTTGCACACTGCTTACGATTCGTGGGACGAATATTGGAGCTTTTGGAGTTGTACGTACCTGAAATAGGGTACTGTGAGATTTTCAGTGGACCTCGAATGCGTGATATCCTGGGACATTCGTCTGGACCTAGGGTGCAACAAACAATCCAAAACAATAGCGGTGAGTTTACATGCAACTGCGTGCAAGAATGCTTAAAATAAAAGTAACAGAAATAAAAACGTCGGGCAATGAGGATTAATTTAAATCGGAGAAAATTGAACGATTTTTCGTTGCATATATACTTTGCTTAATTTGCTATGTCACGTGCAAATTCGCGTTCATTTTTCTCCAAACTGGGGGAACAGGGGTATGTTGAATAAATGTAAAATAAAAGAGCGTATAATAGGAAGCGTTGAACTAAAAATCGGTCTGCGGTTGCCAAGGGAAAACTGTTTTAAATATAAGCAGATAATATGACAAATATGACGGCAACTACATACATTCGATGCTCATGCTCAAACGTCAAAAAAATATCCGGTTGCATTATAGTTTCAGCACATATTCATCTTACCGATTCACGTCATAGTCACTGGCACAATCGGGTAAAATCCTGTGCGATTATGCTCGATAAAACTGTTGCAACGTAAGCCTCGTGTAATTACGGATATACTTACATAATTACGTAGGGTCATCTGTAGTCGTATAAGTTACTTATAGTCGAATGAAGACTTATTCAATAGGTCAAAATAACTGGACGTATAGTCATGACTATAATATAGCAACACGTGTTTCCGACTAGTAGTCATGTACAAGATTGCTTATAACCGCGTTCAGTTACATGTATAGTCACGACTATTACGTGTAGTCATTTATAGTCATTTAAGTGGACAAGTGGCCACAATTAAATTCAATAACGACGAAATTGCGCATAGTCACAATGTGTGACTATTGTAATGACTATCACAGTCACACGAATGTACATACGATTTGCCTATTCGCAATCATGCGAATTTGCATATTACTATTTGTGGTCACGCAAATTCCCAGTACGACTATTTATAGTCACGCAAATTTGTGAATGACTATTTATAGTCACGCAAATTTGTGAATGGCTATTTATAGTCACGCAAAATTGTGAATGACTATTTATAGTCACGCAAACTTGCGTTCGACTATTTACAGTCACGCAAACTTGCGTTCGACTATTTACAGTCACGCAAACTTGCACGCGACTAGTTGTAGTCTCGCAAATTTGCATACGACTAGTTGCAGTCTCGCAAATTTGCATACGACTAGTTGCAGTCTTGCAAATTTGCATACGACTATTTGTAGTCCCGTAAATTTGCACACGACTATTTGTAGTCACGCAAGTACATTTTCACTACTAATTGTTCCTAATATATAGTCAGCCATGAGATAAACGAAAGATAGATACACAAAAATTAAAGCATCGCATTCTCATTCGAACGACACTATTGTTCGCATAATATCGAGAAATACCGTGGAAAATATATCGCCATATGTCCGGACGCGATAGGTCGATTATGGAAAGATCGAAATGGATATTCCTGGACGAGAACTGCAGTCGGCTCAGGTCGGTTTGAAACGGCATATCAGCGCTGTCACAGCTCCCAGCCGGCGCTAACTACCGGCGATGCTTTAATTCGATTACCGTCTACCATCCTGACGAGTTCACTCGTTACCGCGGATCAGCATCCGAGCGAACGTTTACTTCTATTTTCGATCTGGTCCCCGAGGCCGGATCGCGTATTTCTGCCCTCGACCAATCCGGTCGTAGTTTCTTAACGGATAAATCTTTCTGTGTGCTGGTTTACTCTTTGCCGATAAAATAAACTCCGATTTCTTATTCCAGGTTTCAAGTAAATTCCACAAAAAACTCTAACACGAAACTACCGTCTCTAATTCGAATTTACACCGCGCGTCTTAATTCGCGAAATTTGAATACAAAAAATCCGTCCCAAACATAATCCTTATTAATTAATTCCGGGCGTATCGGGTTCAAGTAAATCCCATTTAATTCAACGATTAACGCTTTTAATCCGAATTTATTTTGGACTGAAAAGAAAAAAAAATTGGTTTCTGATATAATCGTGGCAACGAATTGCACGCGAATTTTGAGTCATGGAGCAATAAACACGTCACCCGCGTAATCCGTGAAATAAAAAGGCAGTATTACACACCTTTACTCGACAACGTGTTGTAAAAATGTTTGTCCGGTAATTCGAGCCGAACACGAGCAAAAGTTCGCATGTAAATCCCATGAAGCACGACGACGGGGTCCGGGGTTCGGACCAGCTTGCGTAAATCACCGGGTATTTTCGAGCAGCAGCCGCCCCTGAACGAAGTTGAGGCAGCAAGACTCGCTGCAATGGCAGCCGGATGTCCCTTGGCTGGAGACAATGATGGAACTTGCGACGAGATCGGGTCTGGCATCGTCGGCTCATATTTTTGGAAACGTACAGGGTGTCACGTTTGGCAGACTGCCTCGTTAACAGACGAAACGATCGCGCGGCACGAGACACCGGGAAGGATAAATAAACAGCGCAGAGCGGGGCTTAGACGCGTAATTTATGCTCGGCACTCTTTGCTCTGCCAAAATTTCGACAAACGTAATCGTTGATATTTCGAACGATACGGCTGAATAAAGGTTATGTCGCTTTTAGTAGGTTCCAGTTGCGCACAGGGACGAACGAAGCGCGTAGGAACGCGTGGTAGAATTTCATAACTCTATAAATACGTGGTGCAAGAGCACAGTCGATAAGGTAGGGAGCGCGCGGTGAACGGAGTATAAATAATGAATTTGATTCTCGAGCCAATCGACAGGTCCAAGGAAAACATGCGACAACTTTAGTCTTTGGGTAGCGTGACGAGTATGAAATATTCGTGAAGACACCGTTTCGACGACACTGCCCGCTGTGCTGGTCGGAAATATTGGATCTAAAGTCCCGGAGTCTTAGGGACCCTAGAAATTCTAGGAATTTTAAAGGCCTCAAGGATTCCAGGCACGGGGAGTGATCTTAAAGCGGGAATGCGAAATAAAATAAGAAAACGTTAAGAATAATCGTAAAATATCGTGAAACGTGTAATAAAATTTTGTAATCTATAAATTCTAGTAATTTCTTTTTATTTATATTGTGCTATCAAACTTAATTGCGGAAGACATGGGGAACTTTTTATATGTAGTATGAATATTATTAGTCGATGAGTTCTGATTAATTAAATTTTTTCTATCACATGTACATACATATTCTCATCCTCGAAATACAATATGAATAAATTAGCATGAATTTATTGGGGAGACTTATAGAATGGAAATGGAAATATAGCTGCAATTTGTAAATAATTTATGAATTATTAAATATGCTGTCAATGATATATTAATATTATTAATAACAAATTTATCGCGATATAAATTTATAATGGAAGCGAAAAAATTAATAAATCATTGCGTATCGTAGTAGGAAGGAAATTATCCGTGGGTTCGGTAACGATCGGGTCTTTTCGGTTCGTCTTCGGCAAGCAGTCGCGTCTATATAAGGACCGCGGATTCAAAGCAGCAGCTCATTTGTCATTTCAACTTCGAGTCGGATGGATCTAAAACTTTTAATACGAGATGTACAATTCACAATTAAATAACTTTTACAATTAAATAGTTTATAATTAAATAATTTACATTATTTATCAACGTTGCAATTTGTCGATTCGATTAAGTATTAATTAACAATTTATTACAGTTATACATAATATAATTGGCTAATATTTCGGGAACAGTTTCAACCCCTACTCAAAAGTACCTGAGCAAGGAATTCCATAGATTCAAGACTAATTTAAGGAATCTACGAATTTCTGAAATTCCAGAAATTCCAGAAATTTCAGAGATCCTAAAGATACTATACACACCAAAGATTCCACTGCTGTTGAAGACCCAAAACACCAAGGAACCGAGTTCCAGGCCCCATGAATCCTATATACCATTGGTCTAGGGATCTCCAAGACCCTAAAGACTCGAAAAGACTAAGAACTCTAGAAACTCCTAACATTTTTCACACATCCCCTTTCAGAAGCAACTCCAATTCCTCTCATTTGTCAATATTGTCCCGCCTAAATCCAAAATAGACAGTACTGTGTTCTACGAGTTTAGATTCGTCAGTATCACGTTCGTAACACCAAGATGACCAGTATCGTATTCTATCAACGTAGGAGTTATCAGTATCGTATTCCATACCTTTGATACAAGCTGTATCACGTTTTACAAGCTTCTGATTTCGTTTGCATCGAATTGCACCAGCCCCCAAAGGGCCACCTGCATTCTGCATGGTCAATTACCTTGGTACCGATTCCCATGACACCCAGACATCCACCCATCATCTGCCATAATAACCTAGAACTTGTCAGAACTGTTCAATGACCTGTCACCGAGCTAGCGAGCTTCCGATCTCAGGATCTCCAAACAACTTCTCTTTATCGATGTCGAGAGATCAAGCTTATCGATCACCTGGTCCATGACAATCACCTAAAGTTGATCCAAATCACAGTTCGCTGAAAAATGCGATAATCGTTCGATAAAGCCGCAACATGGTAAATAAATCCGACAATGTCCTCTGCTATATAGTTTTTGGCCCTAGGATCTCTAACTGGAAGGCTTCTGGGACCTTCATGACACAAAGCTAGCCTGGAATATCTAATAGAATGATCCCCAAACCTACTCATGGTGAATTACTTTCAATTACAAAGTTTTGGAATACAGTGGATACGAAAATGGACTCGTGTCACGATATCACGAGATGGCACAGGCTTAGGACTTTTAGAGTTGGTTCTCTAGATTCGAAGGTTCCTTCGCTATATGGAGTCAGTGATTTGGTATATCATACTGTCACCTAGTCGATGACACATTTACGATTAGATAAAGAGGAATCACAGGGTTGGAAAGTAAACGAATCGACTATACAAGCTTCTGTTCCTTCGACTTTGCTTTCAAAAGTAGAGACAATAGGATAGAGGAGGTACTACTCAAATCCAGGAACCCCTAACCCGCATGAAACGAAACTACTCTAGGTCTCTGTTGTAGTGGATAGAGTGGTTTTCAGATGCATACGTATCGAAACTTTAGATTATAGCGAAAACTA